TTACAGTTCAGTACCGCCTAGAGTATATGAGCGATGAATTCGTTTACATTTTCGTCTGCTTTCTTCCGTGACGGAGCTGTACGCTATCGGGCACGTCCCGAGGTTGCGGATCAGGGAATACCTTCCTTGTGGAAGTAACCGCAAATAAGTCTGGCTGTTTTGCAGGCGAGTTGAATAAACAGTCGCGAAGAATCAGCGGCAGCGTCTCAGAACGTGGGGATTTCTGGGCTGGTCACTTGGTTCTCCACTAAGTACCACAAGCGCTCGTACGGCGCTGTGTCAAAGCCAATGGGACCAGCTATAGGGTCACTGACCATTCACTCCTGTAACCCAGGGTGAGTATCTAACGGAGGGCGGATGAACAATTTTGCTGACCACCGGCTTCTCTGTGGACTTCTTCTGAACACAAAGAAGGCGAATGATCCACCTGGGTGTCAACGGTCCTCGTGAATCGCCCCGCTGACCTGCGGGACAGGTCTTTAAGACCAAAAGCTTGGGGTGGCGCCCCTTAAGTCAACTCTCTTCCTCGGTCTGGGAAACCGGGAAGTTTACTTCCCACACAGCACTTGGAACTTTGTTTCCATTCCTCTGACTCGCCCTTCCCCCTTTTTGTTATTGTTACTCATGTGTTGTGGCACTCTGCCAAATTTATATATATATATATATATATATATATATATATATATATATATATATATATATACGTCTGGTTTCTGGGAGGGTTTGGAGAAGAAGTACCTGGCTGTAAACACACTTTGGCGAACTCCCCAAAGCGCGCTGAATGTATCCAGAGCACTGGTTATAGTAGAGCAGACTCCGTCAATACGAAGAGCGTCAAACTATCTCTGACCTTCGCCCGCAAGGAATTGTAGTAAAAGTTTTACTTTGGATTTCTCCGAAAGGGACACTGCCGGATTCAAGATGGGAAGCAACTCCAGATAATCAATAAAAGTTTTTCGCCATCGATTTCAAATGTTCAAAGACGGTCTATCGGTAGAACAGGACTTGGAGATTTGTGGAGTGTATGGCGCAGACGTGGTATCCACCCTCCGTCGCCAGATGTCAAGACTAGACGTTAGCCGTAGTAAGTTGGCAGCAGAAGGAAAACGTGTACGAAGTGTAGTATACCCAACAACTAACGCGGAGCGGGTTACAGCATAAGAAGCGCAGTTGGGCGTGCCTACGCGCGCATGCAAAATCAATAGATTTGGAACCAGCGTCAGTCATTGATCAATAACCAACACGTGACAGGCACTCCAGACAATTGTGACTTAATGCAGGTATTTCGGGTGTTCGCCTCAGCTGTATACATACACTGTGAAGTTATCGCGTAGCCTACATGTGGATGCAGTGTGTAAACTCATTCAGTTTAAATTAATAATACGGTCAATGACCTCAGCACGGCAAAGAGAAGCTTGTCGTAAACTCAGTCTGCTTGTACAGGTTGAACTTCAGCCGCCGGATCGCAGAAGCTTCCGCGAACTGAAGCAGGCGGGCACTGCTCTGTTGACAAATAACACTAAACGATTGCCGAGGACTTTGGCACATAGTGCAGTCTTGTGTTTACCTTTTTAACTGTACTTGTGGTAGTAAGTACGTTGACAGAACTCAGCGTAGGCAATCCACTAGGATTTCAGAGCACGTCCTACGAAATATGGTCACGAAAGGATCCAAACTACCGGCTAGCTCAGTAGCACAGCACAGCCAAGACTGCGCTACGTGCCAAAGTCCTCGGCAATCGTTTAGTGTTATTTGTCAACAGAGCAATGCCCGCCTGCTTCAGTTCGCGGAAGGTTCAGAGATTCGGCGGCTGAAGCCCAAGTTGTGCAAGCAGACTGAGTTTACGGTAACCTTCTCTTTGCCGTGGTGAGGTCATTGATCGTATTTTTATTTAAACTAAATGAGCTTGCATACTGCGTCCACATATACGCCACACGATAATTTCACGGAGTGTATGTATACAGCTGAGAACACTCGAAATACCTGAATTCAGTCTATCCAGTTACAATATTTTTTCTTCTTGCTACTTTGGAATTTGTAAAGGGAAGATCCTATATGAAATGTGACTTATTTCAGCAAGACTTCATCCGTGTGTCAATGTGGTCCGCCTGTCAAGCAACCAAAGCAAACCAAAGGGTGGTGACGGTAAAACTTATATCACTGACGGCCGACCGCTACATTCCAGGCCTTCCGCGAAGAACCTAGCTAAACCCTCGCGCTGTGATTTGAAGTCCGTGTACAACATGAACAGGCTATACCGTAACGGACTGCGCATGCTTTGGGCACGCAAACGCAGCTTCTGTATTTGGTATGAAAAGGTTGTCACTCGCCTCTTCCCTTACATAATAAGACTAATACTCGAGTACGGCTAGTCCCCTACTGTCCAATCACCCGAGAGGAGGCACAACTGACCGAACGGGTCTAGCACGTTGCTGCCAGGCTCATTCCGAGTTTAGGAAGATAACCACATGAATATCGGTACGAGAAACTATGACCCTACACTCTGTCCTACTGTCATGTGCGAGTCGATCTCATCGTGACCCATAGCATATTACATCTCGGTGACATCCGCATGTTAAGGCCGCTGCTTCATTTGAGAACGCCATGCAGCGCACGCAGACACTAGTACAAGTTTGTGATGCCGAATATGAAGCGATTTCTCAGTCCCACGTGCTTCGAACGGAGTGGCAAATGTTTGGAACAGTCTGCCAGAACAGGTCGTAGAGGCCAAATCTGTACAGCAGTTCAAAAAGTTGTTGGATTTACATTTCCCCACCATTCGATTCAGAGAAGGATTGCACACTGTCAATAACATCTTAGGTTTGTAGGCCCAGTGAAACTGTCAGACAATTTTAAATGTTACCTGAAGAACGGTTCGACTATCACAGGTGGCAGAGACATTGTATGACAATTGCGTGTATATTCCGATGGAATTCTATAGATTTAAATGCTACTTGCGTCCATAATACAGAATTCAGTATTCCGAGACGCGACCTAAGAGAAAAATAGTTACAATTGTTCAAGAAAGCACTTGTGCAGACTGTTTGTGTATTTGATTCTCCAACAGGAGCTAGCAGAATTCAGCCCAACGATGTTCACACTGCGAACGGTTCCGAAGGTCTTCCACAGCGCTGATCGAGTACCCAGTGAGCATCTGGGACGTTCATCCCGATTAAAATCCAAGTAACATGATTTCGACTATAGACACTCCGACTCCGTCGTTTGACTCGAGACATTATCTGGACAGACCAGACGTGGTCCAAGGGTAGTAATTCTAAGTTCCCTAACTGTGAGTCCACGCGTGATTCTCCATCAACGGGTTGTATTCCTCCTACTGCATGTGAAGTTCACGCAGTTGTTATTCGATCAACGAGGTATCCAAGCCGGGATCAAGCACAGCATTCGTCAATATAACTTTGCGCCGAGTTCAACTCCCAACTCGGGATATCGCCACTTGATGAGTCCAGTGGAGGACGAAACCAGTCGTGAAGCGCAGTGAGCAACACCGAAACCCACCAAAGTGGAAACGAAACCGGAAGGTTTGGCAATGTTTGCCGAATAAGTGTGATACTAGTATCCACCCGAGGTTACTTGTTACAATGAATGACTGTGAGATCCAAAACAACTAACCGTTTTAAGGACTAGATGGACGCTAAGGTCCAGTCCGAAAGGCAAACAGAATAGGAAGCTAACACAAGTGGATGGATAAATGACAACTGGGTGGAAAAAGTGAGCAAGTTTAAGGTGCAAAAAGACACTGTTTACTATTTAGGTTCCGGAAAGAACGATGCGTAAAGTTGCGGACTGTGCAAGAGGGTGTAGTATCTACCGGGTTGAAAGCAACAGACCAAGATGCGAAATGACCAGATTGGAGCAAGGTGGCTATTCGAGATGAGTTATTGAATTGACTGAGCAAGGATTAAATGCGTATCGTGCTGTCAATTTTGGCCAAATGGTGACTACTGATCACTACATATCCTAAGACAGAAGACTGAATTCCAACGAGTGTGATGAACAGGGCAAGTAAGGGAAACGATCGAGCAAAACTGTTACTCCGGAGCAGCGTGAACTGAAATAGAAGTCCCCAAAGGCTGGGTGCGATGTAACAGACTGAATCCGCCTGGGCATTGTAAGTGGTACTGCCGATACGGGGCGCGGATGTCGTTGTGGATATTCAAAGCTGAATTTAGGGAGCACGCTGTGTGGTTGGGTTGCGACTCCCAAGCTCTATTGAGCCCAGTTCTCAATAGAGGTTGCGAGTCGCAACCCAACCACACAGCGTGCTCCCTAAATTCAGCTTTGAATTACTTTCCGCTGTGCCAAGCGTTGCTCGCGGATCTCAGTAGCCTAGTGTTCAGGGCGTCAGCCATGAACTACTAAGCTCTGAGTTCCACCCCAGCTCAGGCGATCTCCACCTGACGAGTCTAAACCAAGACGAAACCGCGGTCGTGGTGTGCCAGTGTTGGGAAGAGCAACACCCAAATATATCCATTGTTGTGGATATGTTCATTGAACTGGCTCGCTCACACGTAGATGTCTCACTGCCGAGTCGTGTTGCACTGGTGAAAATACACCTGTGATGCGAATCCGATGCATTCCGTTTGGTCCAACGGGCAGACGTGTTGGATAAACTTGAACTCGAAGTGTTGCAACAATTGACCTCCCATTCTGCACATAGTATCAGCAGAGTACGGAAACGTACGATTGATCGCTTATTGAAACAGTGTGTCTAAGTGAGTAAGATGAGATGGAAGCATTGTGGCTTGGAATACGGGTAATCGACCCAAAGCTGCTGGTGGAATGATGCCAATGGAGTGCAAACTCATTCAAAAATAAGAGAACACACTGGAATGCATCGTTTCGATCCAATGTAGTGAGATTAGATGGCAGGGTGGAGATGAAATACGTGAAAATGGGGATAAGAATCAAATGCGAAAGTCAGAAGCCGTTAAGTACATACTGAGGAGACAACGAGTAAGGCATGGGAAAAATGCAATCACCTGCAGATAAATGTTGACAGAGAGCAGCGATAGTGCCTTTGTCGAAGTTAGCGAGGAAGCAGTTCAAAAGTCCGGGGCTGTTGTTAACACCGAAATGGTCGAAAATGAGTTTCCGAACTTTGTCAGTTTTGTGGGCCCATGGAATAAGACCATCTTCGATTTCCAGATATTTGCAGATTGTATGGTGAGCGACATGATAAGCTGCGTAAGGAGAGGTAAAGGGGAAGTTAAAATTCTGCTTTCCGAACAAGGTCCTCGAAGCCAATATTAAACCGAGAAGCCTCCTATGAAAAATAAAAAAGCGCATCTTTCTACTAGGTTCACGAAATCCCTTTCTCCGGTCTTAGTTAGTATAGATCGACGTGCAGTTGCTTGAATCGGTATATGGGTAGCTAAGCGTCATGATTAAGGGTCACATAAAACCGAGGGTCCAGGAGCATGACTAGTGTGCTATCACATCCAGTGCTCAGAGGGCTCAACACAAGGAGTGTAGCGAGTAATTGTGCAAAAGTTGACCTCATTTATCGAAAGACAGTGGTTTGGTACGTCACGGAATGTGGATTCCTAGTGCTTTTCCCCAAAGGTTTTTGGTGTTGTAAAAACTGTACGTTGCAGTGCGCAATTAAAAAACCCGGGAATTTACAGTGCCATTGTTCGAGCTCGAAGATAAAGCTCATTGGAAAGCTCCAAAGTGTTATAATCAGTATGCAACTGCCAGGTTTATACAACATAGTGGAAGATGTGGTGATAGATTCGCGATGTGCAGCGGCCTTGTTGGCGCTAGCAGTCGCCCATGGAAGGTGAATGTGACACATTCCGAGGATGCACACAGAATGTGTGCATAAAGCCGCTGAAAAGCACAGATACAAGAGTCGACATTTCCGCCGTGCCCTGAACGATAGACGCATCAGTGCGGGACGCAATTGAACAAGATGTATTTGAAAGCTCTAGCATTAGGACCAAAGATTAATTCCGTGCAACCAAGTATTGGGTAAGTGTGGCTGGAAGGATATCAGCAATCTGAAGTGTCGGCTGATCGAATTGGTGCTAACTTCACCCCCCACTCATTATACTTTCATCAGAACAACTCTGGTGCTGCTGTCGCAATACCATCTGATCTACAAATTGTAATTCTTAGATACAATCACCAACGAAAATAAAGAAAACACGAACGAGCTTGAATGCAAGCAAGATGTTGGTCAATAGAGACTGAATTGAGTATTGATGGAGATGTCGGACTAGGTTCAGTACTAATTAACACGAGAAACTAATTGCTCGAAGCGATTTGAGAGTATGGCTCCACCTTAGACAAGGTTGAGCTCACCAAGTTGTTAGAGAAAAAGAAGTACGTCAAATGTGTAGAGGAACCATTATTAGAGGAGACAATTCCGAGTCATCAAAAGAGCCCAGCATCAACCAACTTGTGAATTTGAGAATATACACATTTTAGTTGGATATTTGCAGTGTCGAATTGATATGGGGGAGTTCCTGAACCACTGCGTAAAGAGTTGGTAGCTTGCGCTGTGAGTAGTACGGTCGAAGTAAGTAAACAAGAGAAAGAGATGGATGTGAGGGACATAGTGGTGCATTCGTGCGCGAAAACATTGATGAAAGCTGTCAAGCTTTATTTGACCACCTACGTTAAAATGTTCGAAGAAGAGGAACGTTGCGTCAAAAGTTTGACAGAATGATTGTTGTTTGACGAAACGCATTCTCGATAAACAGATGAGGCCAGGATTGAACAGATTTTATGACCACCACTTGACAAATCTACTCCCGAACTAACCTATCAACGTTGTACCTAATGGGATTCAAAACTGGCGTATTGGTCACGAGTGAAGCCACTGTGTAACCAAACCACGTTTGTGACAGTGCAAACAGTGGGCATTCGATGCATCAGATTAGTAGAGAACTAATCAACTTGCTCGAAACGGCTATTGATTGCGATTGTCACGCAGATTCCGGATGATCACGATCCATCCAACTCGTCGAAGTAGCTGATTGTTCGAACAGCATATAATTCATAATAGTGAAGGCCAGACTGAGTTTGTCGAACAACATTTGGATGGTCGAATATGCCCTATTTAAGGGACAAATAGGGCAATTTCCTACCTGACCACTGTCACAACAGCAGTGTTGTATAAAAAGGTGTTTAGGAAATTATTGTCCCGCTTTCGAGTAGGCAGAGGCGGTCAATCAACCGACCGCCGTCGTACGCATTGGCTAGAAAAAGACGTCTGGTTGATAAGGCCGTATGGCGACGTATCGTAGTTATCACTGCGTAGTAACAAATAAATCCGCTCTGCTCCATGAGCATCGTTAACGAAGTAAACTATGTGAAAAATAGGCCGCTGAACTAGCTTTGATAGGTGGGTGCGTTAGCAGTAATGTAAATTACACCCATTGTCCCCGCGCGTCTTGGGAGTTTTGTGAGTCAGTATAGCCAACAGTGCATATCCGTTCACCGAATGGGATCCAGTCGATCAGAGCAGCTTCAGCCCGTAAACTCAAAGAACACTCATAACGGTCTGGCAGCCATTCGAAGCTGTGTTAGCACCGAATAGACGAAATCACAAAATTGCCATTGTCACATGAAAGGGATCGTAGAGTGGGTCATCATGACCATGACGCATTAAATGTGAGAAACACACTTCGACTATTGTGCCAGAATACAAAGAGATAAGATATATGAAAGAGCGAGATACTAATTAGGGATTACAAAAAACAGGTAACACGTTGCTTAGTAAGCTACTATGCTTCAAGAGAGGGATCGTGATTGGAGAAAGAAGATCAGCTGGATGGGGAGAGACAAAGAAATTCACAAGACAAACGCCATTGAGGTCAGCTCCTTGCCATGTCAACTATCGTATGCAACCAGACGTGTTCACCGTCCTTCGATTCCCAGCAATGCAGTCGGGAGACACCAGATTCGAAGTGAGGGTTTTCATTTCTCTCAATCAAGTCATCGCTTGGCCTCCTCTCCTCTTCTTCCATCCACACTGACGGCGCGCAAATAACGCACAACGCCGGAGTCGGTGGGCAGGCACGCACAGCATGTGACCCAGGTACCGGGGCATGGTGTGTGTACTAACGGTGCTGAGCGGTTTCACTCACCCTGCCTGTACCAAATACCTGACGCTTAACACGCTCATTTTGTAAATTGTGTACAGAGCCGGAGCTCCACAGGTGGGTTTCTAAAAAGAAGCAGATGTGGGTCGACAGTGCCTCTGGTGTTTGAGCAAGCGCTGCTTGGTGACGAGTCTGTAACAGTGCGCTTGATGATGCATACCAGTACTAGAGAAGAACGAGAGCTCCAAATAGAAGTGGAAGTGGTTGGACATGGACTACTCGACAGAACAGCATAGATGCGATGAAATTGGAAGACAAGCAGTTATCAAAGCGTCACCTGTGCGATAAGCAGCCCCATCTTACAGTGATGCGGACAAACTTATGTACTAAACTGACACAGGGCGGTGATCGGGTAGTAGTCCGTTCCACACAGGATGGGAATAGTATTTGAGCTTAGCACTATCAAGAAGACCGTGCGCCACGTATTCTCTAACAGTTTCCCGAGGCCAGCAATCGAGGTGGCGGTAGTATTCGACAGATATGCACGTTGACAACATTCGCAGCCACAGCGGGAATAGCAACCGGCAGATGCTGCCAGATACGCGACAATGTAAATTCACTGGTACAATCACGTGATGCTATGCTCAGGTTATAAAGTCCTAAGATCTTCGATTTATTGTGTAAACCGTGCTATTCGCATGAAGACTCAGCAAACCTTATCATCACCCAACTTGCCATTGCCAGCTAATAAGTTGCTTTAAATAGACGCATTTACAAACATTGAACGTAATTAGTTTAGCTCATCAGAGCACGCGGTATATCTCGAGGTCAAATTGTTACCTTGGGCAAGTTAAAAATAACTTGACTGCTTCCCCTTGTAGTTTATTCACGTTGCCAATCTATCCGTACGTGACCCTGTGCTCTAGAACCACGGAAACGGGGATATACCACATTTCTGCCTCACCATTTCCTACCCAAGCTGTGCGCCGAGTCTAGATCTTATAGCCCGCTGTACTCATTATATACATTTTGTGCGAGGTAGTTAGATTTAGTCTTGTTTCGTCGATATATGTAAAAGTGATGGAATCGAACGGTACAGTTGGGTCTGATAATAATGAAAGGCAATGAATTAAAGTATTCGCTCAGCCACTGACAAGCTGTAGGCTATTACCGAGCAAGGATCTTTGTGGACATGACTACATAGGCACCAAATACACCGGAGGAGACACAATTGACACCAACTTATGCAAATCGAATACGGAGCAATGAAAGGGGAAGGCGTGTGCTAGTAGCTTAAATTTAGCAGTCCCAAGTAACCCAGTGACAAGTTAATACGACTTTACAGTAAAGAAAGCAACAACCAATCGGTGGGAGGCCAATGCGAAAAGCAGGCAGCTGCAAGAAAACGGGTGTGATAAAACGTACCACTACCACCATCACCCAGAAGGTGACCGTAGCCACCAACACGTACGAAACTCAAATCTTCTCTGACGAATTTGCAAATGGATCCCGTGCCAGAAGTCAGAACGACTGCAGCTGGAAAATGAGTGGAAAGACCAGTTAGCGTGGGTGGATAATCATCATCATCATCATCTTTGTACCAACGATACGAAGCCTAAACTAAGTACGTCGTACGGAACTTAAACTAGGAACTGCAAACCAATAAACTTAGGCTTAACGCACGGTCTGGGCAGAAGAAGAAAACGAATTATCCTGTAACCGTGGTTCTATAAGGCATACTACATACAGTACATCACTTACGAATAGGTTTTGCAGTCGTAGTGCAAGAGGGCAGAAATTGCAAAGCGTGCGGCTGCGTGCGAGTATTTGGGCAGTGTCACAGTAACAGAATAATATGAATGATCTTGAAACGTCAAGGATATGTCAATGATCGAGAGTGAAAGGAATAAATGCACAATATGGTAACCGATTGTAGCACACAGAGTAAAGCAAGGTAAAATGACCAGAATAATTAGGGAATAGAGATGTCGTGTCCTCAAGTAAGCAATCTAGGTTAGGGAGACATCAAAGTTCCTTTTGGACTTTAACCCCTCCCCCCTGCGGTTTCGTATTCTGGACGATGGCTTCCAAGTCATTCTCTTCTTCCTGGTACGCTTCTAGTAGGCATAGCTGTCTGACATCTCTTCTCAATATACCTTTGCTTGTCGAACTAATTGGTCTTTGCTCTTGATAACTTCTTCCACGACACCCTTAGGCCACAGACCTCTTAATGTGCGTAAATCACAAACTAAAACTAAATCGCCCTGCCTAAGATCTCGGATTTCAGTTAATCATTTCTGCCTATTCTACAGCGTAGGTAGATATACTCTGATCCACCTATGCCAAAACATGTCGGACGGATGTCTTACGTGTCTCCACCTTCTGCTCAACTTGATTGGTAAGTTGATCGGTGGGTATTCAAGCGACTGATCATTTTCAAGCGTTAAGCGTTGCCGTGGCGATATAGCATCTTGCGAATCCGGGGAGTCGGGTACCGCTACCAAAGGCCTGTGCTACAATATCTTTTCGATCTCGGTGAGTGTCGGTACAAGTACCACTTCGGTTACAATCTCGCCGTTGAGAATGTTGCGTAATAATTCACGAGTCGATCGAATCAATCATTCCCAAAGACCTCTGCGATGGCTAACACATGGAGGATTGAACTTCCAGTCAAACTCTCTAGCCAACATAGACTTTAAGATCTCCCTCTGATCCACTTGTTTCAGTAGCTTGCGTAATGCTGCTTCAGCTATATGGAAATTCTGTCCATTATCGCCGTATATTACAGTCGGCCATCCGCGTCAAACTGAAAACCTTGAAAACGCACACAAGAACGAATCGGTATCCATGGAGTGGGAAACCTCAATGTGAACTGCCTGTGTAGTTAAGCAACTGAACAAACAGCCGTAACTGTTTTCAAGTACGCGGCCCGTTTCTCCGCAAGCGGTCTAAAATAGTTTCTTCCCACTGCACTGAACGCTGGTTGGTGGGTCGGATATTGGTCTGTTATAACTGGTGACATCAGCTGACTCGCATAATTAACGCGGCATTTGGCACATTTGAAAAGCACACACCTTATGGATGAGACTCCATCTACGATCCAGTAGCATCGATTAAGATCGTACAAAGTGTGCTGCGCACCAGTGTCCATTGATGTAGTGGTAGTGCAGTATAAGTAGGCGAGTGACAAAGTGACGGCCAGGAAGTAAAGTCGGATGCCTCGCAGTCGTACGGTACGGAGAGTTGATCCAGCCTTCCGTCCATCCGAAGTATCCCATTAATGAGGAAGGGCTTGAGTCGTCTTAATCTGCATGACCTCAGTGTTAAATTTCGAACTGTAATGTCGGCTCCGTTGTACGCAAAGAGGCGCATCTCCTCCGCAAAAACTTCTGACTGCATCAACTTAACTATCTGAAGCGTAGCTTGTCGAATTTCAGCACTTTCCATCTCAGTCTCAGGTAGTTGGCGGTGAAATAAGATTTGAATCGCAAGTAGGTAAGGAAATATTTGCGCAGGGAAGTCCATGTCGGGCAAGCCTTAAATTTATTAATCCAATGCTCCTCCAAAGTGAGCAAGAAAACATGACCAACCTCGGGTCGTAAGCATTCATGCGGTAATTCACCCAGATTCTCCGGATGCATAGGCCATGACGAATGGGGCTGAACGAGAAATTGTGGCCTATGTAACCATTGGTTTACTTCCTTCTTGAGCGACATCGTGAGTCCACGTGAGGCTATATCAGCCGGATTCTGCTTCGAATTTAAGTAGCTCCATTGACTGGGGTGAGAGTATTGTTGTGTAATGGTAATCCGATTAGCAACATACGTCGGGAAACGCCCATTAACACTTCGAAGAAGCTTCAGAACTACCATCGAGTGTGTCCAGAACGTTGTGCTACAATGGAGTGGCATCTCCTCTCTGACTTTCGCTGACATGCGCACGTTCAGTACGACAGCAGTGAGCTCCAACCTTGGTATCGACATTGTTCTAATGGGACTGATACGTGATTTGCTAATAATCAGGAAACTACTAACGTTGTCTTCATTAATCCCACAACGCAAAAATAGAGTAGCACCGTAACCAGCCTCAGGCGCATCCGAAAAATAATGCAACTGCACAGAAGATACACTGCATCCGAATGGATTAATACAACGTTCGACGGACAAACTGTTCAGACCATTGGCGTTTGATAACCATTTGTTCCAAGCTTGCTGATCCTCTGCGGGAAGAGGCTCATCCCAATCCAGCTTCCTTTTTACGAAACTCTGTAACAGTACCTTTGCCGGAAGTAGCACGGGAGCAATGAGGCCGAGAGGATCATAGACTGAAGCTACAAACGAGAGGATGGCTCTTCGGGTCAACGTTTTAGTAAAACTTTCCAGCTTAAAAGTTAGGTGGTCCTGGGTGAAGTTCCAGTTTAAACCAAGCGCATTTCTAACACAATCGTCCTCAATCGAATCTTATTTCGGAAACCTTCAGTTCGCTGTCAGGTAAATGTGCGATAACTTACATTCCGTCAAATGAAATCCTCCGTCGGACAGAATACGTGTAAGGTGTTTAACGATTTCAGTTGCTACGTGAACAGAATTGATACTAAATAAACAATCGTCGACATAAAAAGAGTTCTCTGCTACTTCTTTAACCTTTGTTTGGGATTCACAATAACTGTAAACGATAGCTTGTCGTAACGCAAAGTTAGCACAGCTTGGTGACGAAGTAGCGCCAAGCGGATGTACAGTCATGCGGTATTCAATAGGGGGTGAACAAAGGTTGACGTTCTTCCACCGCAGAAACCTCAAACAATTCCGATCCTTAATAGGAACCTTGAGCTGATGAAACATCGCTTCAATGTCGGACGCGACGGCGATCGGGTGGAACCTGAACCGCAAAAGCGTCCCTACTAGACTGTTTGACATATCGGGACCAGGTAGAAGTTGTTGATTGAGGGAAGTTTCACGGTATGAAGCTTGATAATCGAAGACCACTTGCACTTTACCTGGCTTACGTGGATGCGATACAGAGTGGTGGGGTATGTACCAGGTTTCCCTTTTAATCTGCTATTCTTGTAATGGAGCGAGTTCAGCATATCCTTTAAATATATACTCTTCCACTGCCTTGGTGTATGCTTGGCGCAGTGCGGCATACTTCGATAAACGTTTCTTCAACATGACAAGCCTCATCAGTGCGAATTGCTGGTCATCTGGTAACCGAGGTCTCCCGGCTTGCCATGGCAACGCAATCTCGTAGTGGGCGCCAAGCTTTCTTTTAGAATCTTCCATTAGTTTTAACGCGCGTTTGTCGTTCACAGACATGGCTAGTCGTGAACTATCTAGTCCGTCAAATTCCCTTTCATACATTTGCTCTAGTGGTTGATGAAGGTCAGTGGTATTGCAGCGAGTTGAGTTGATCCTCCGTGTTCAATCAACTATCAGTTATGTGGATTGATCCTTCATAGTCTCGTACTGTTTGTTCGGTCCCAGTACGGTCCAGCCCAATGGAGATTTAACAGTATACGGATCAGCAGGATGCCCGCGTCTCTGATCTAATGCCCAGTGCAAGTATAGGTTATCGCTTCCAATCAAAAGTTTAACCATTTCTTCCAGTTCCGGTAACCGTAGATAAGAGAGGTGGGATCATCTGTAGAAATCGTTGTTCCTGTTTTCAGTTCCAAGTTTTTCAGGGAGGCGACTGACTGATCTAATTGAATCCAATTGGACCGCCTCATCACCATCTATAGATTGAACAGTTACACTAACCAACTGGGACTCCACATGGCATCGGCCAGCAACGGTGCTAATGTTAAGTGTCGTCACGGACCCTTAAACCCCGATAATATGTAGTAATGTTGAAACAATCAGTGAAGTATCTGATCCATTATCTATTAAGGCTAATGTTCGAATAGTGTCAGCAGGCCCAGAAACAAGCACAGGCAACAAGCCAAGCGATACAACAGAGCGTTCGACGTGACTGAGAACCAAACTGGATCCATCAGTGTTTGGTGTTCTGAAGTTGCTTCGATCAGAGTGGAGTAACAGGTGGTGCAGCAGCTTACAATTGTTCCACCCACAACACTTTCGTGATCGACAACTTGGTAAGTCATGATTCGGTTTGTGACAGAGTTGACACAGTCGACGGGCGCGACAGAATTCAAGACGTTCGTGGTGGTTGAACATTCGGAAATCATCGCACTGATATAAACAGTGACGTCGTTCACAGGAAAGACATTTGGGGAAAGTTCGTTCTGATGCAGTCGCAGTGGTCAGGCAAGCGGCATATTCCAGAGGGTTTAAGCTTCTGTCTCTATCGGTGCTGGTCAGTGGTCCGCGGGGACGTGAGGCAAAGGACAAGTAAGTATCGACGACGTCTGCGGTTTCATCCAGAAAAGCTGTCAAATCAATGAAGTTCGCTTCTCTTTCAGTGCGGATAACTCTGGCGGAATGCTCGGCCCATTTGAATTGCTGATGGTTGAGCAGCCTCCTGATGATAGAGCTGATTGTTCTGGAAGCGTTCGAATCGGGTGAACTGGTGAACTGGTGCGAAGCAGCGAGTAGAGGTTGCTCTGTGTAGCTGCATCATTCGTCGTTTTCGGACATGAACTTTTTATTTATCGTTTCGCTCTTTGTACTTTGCCTCTGCAAATTGTTTGTCTAGTAGCATCTTGAATTTAGCCACTGTGTTCGCTTCTACTATATGCTGAGGCAGGTCGTTCCAGACATTCACCACTCTTCGTTCGAAACAGAGTTGATGGGCGACCCGCTTCAAATCCGGGACGATAAGTTTATACCGGTGTCCTCGCGTGCAGCTTGGTGTGCGCAGATGAAGTAGTTGTCTCAACATGGGGTAATCACCCAGATGTAATATCCGGTGCGTCATGATGAGGTCAACCCTCAGCCGACGATAAGATAGGGTGTATAACCCTAGTTTCTTACATCGGTCTTCGTATGGCATACCTCGTAAGTTGGGAATCAGCCTAGTGGCTACATGCTGCACCCGCTCAAGCTTTTCTACTTCGCCCCGGGTGATGGGACAGTATGCGGGAGTGCCGTACTCTAGCATTGGTCGTATTATCGAGACGAAGAGGCGAGTGGCAATCTCTTCGGACCAAGTGCTAAAGCTGCGCCTGAGAGCCCAAAGCATCCGAAGGCTGTTTTGGTACAGCCTATTCGTGTTGTCAATGGACTTTAGGTCGCAGCGTGAGAGTACACCGAGGTCGCGCACGAAAGGAGCGGGATGCAACGGTTGTCCAGCCACTGTGTACGTTCGGCCGTGATCATACTTACCCAACCTCATGAATTGCGACTTGGCAGGGTTGATCGGAAGGTTAACCTCTGCAGACCATGTTGCGAGGCGGTCGAGATCTTGCTGAAGTAAATCGCAATCATTGAGTGTGCGGATTACTCTCCACACTTTCAAGTCATCTGCGAACAAAGCACAATGTGATTGTAGTAGCTGAGGCACATCGTTTATTTGGATTAGAAACAATATCGGGCCCAGTACAGTGCCTTGGGGCACGCCGCTGCTCGATGGATACCACTCAGTTAGATGGTTGTCCACCTGGACTCTCCACTTCCGATCAATAAGGAAATTGCTGATCCATTTGTGCAGCGAACCACCAACACCGCACATCCTCAGTCTGTCAAGGAGCACTGCATGGTTAACCTTGTCAAAAGCCTTACTAAAGTCAATGTAAATGACGTCAACCGATTGGCCTTTGTTCAGCGCTTGTAACCATTCGTGCCTCGTCAACAGTAGGTTGGTGATGCACGAACGACCTTTCAGGAAACCAGATTTATACCTTAATTGTTTTAACGTTAAGTAGCAGCTCCACAGTTAAACGAGACAGAGCCGCGAAATCATTGGGTCTGATGTTAGATCCATCAGTTAGAGCATTAATGTGAGTCCTAACAATCATGTGGGGCCGTCCGAAGCGTCTGCGCAAAATGTGCATTGCTTCTTCAAAACCTTCATCAGGGTCGAGTATTAAGCAACTTGCATAGCTTCTTTGGATTCACCACAACACCGTATCTATAGTATCTATGGCTCGAACGGAACCCGCATTGGTCTTCCGCCACGTGCGGTTCAACGGGTATTGAGTTGGATTTGAGCAATCACCATCCCAACACAATTCCGCAAGTTGTTGTGGCACATCGCTTGCTCCTTTTGCCCTTGTACAGTGGAAACACTCGGACATCGTTAAAGTCAGCCGGTACCTCCTCTTCAAACCACAAAGGTTCTAGCAATTGTTTCAACGCATGTAGCAACGCGGGTCCATTGTGTTTCAAAATTTCTGGCGTTATCGCAGCGACACCGGCTCACTTGCCATTGCACAGCTTGGATAGTGCTCTCTACGTCTCGTCCAGTGTCGGTGTGTCGGCAAGACACGTCTTCATCTCTTGTTGTTGCAGCCCATATTAACGTAGGCCAGTGAATCTCTGAGCGTATGTGCAGGGGAAGGAGAAGGAAGGGAAGCGTCAGCAGTAGCGTTTTTTCTCGTTATCCACCCCGATGTATGCAGCAGGTAAGGCAACCCTTTTCCTAAGGCCACCGCGCGATGGCCGACGCAGCATTGAATTATTATTACTGGCACAATTGATGCTTGGGATTGGACTAGGATACTGCTAAGGCGTCCACATCTGAACAGAACGACTCGGGTCCTCAGCCAAAGCCTGCGATAAATAGTACACTCAGGAGACAGCGGGTAGTGCGCCATGAGTCAGTAAACCGACTCACAAGGAATTGTGTGTCTTGGCTCATAGCTAGGAGAAGAATGTAACCCAACTTCCACCTAGCGGTCGCTACGAGTAGGTGTCCAGGACATGAGTCCACGGTATAACATTGGGAGCAGCGCGTCGACCATCTGTCAGGAACTAGCCACCACTTCCATAGAATTATTCAAAAGGACATCTTGCCTATACGACCGATAAAGTTTGTTTGCAGATGCAATCGATTAACTAGTGTTTAGTTAATTCCCTCGTCAATGGACATTCCGACACACATATGATTCGGATATTTTCCAAGGCTTCAGATAACCCATTTCGCTCACTGTACAATGATTCAGCAGAAACTATATCGGTTCCCCCTAAGCGCCAGATGTAGAACTCTACTGTCACTGACTGCATGGTATCAGAATTCCGTATTGCCGTACCTGTCATCCTTGCCTACTGACCGAACGAACGAATCATCAATGTGAACCCGGATAATTTACTCAAGTGTTATTTGTTCTCTGCTTCCATGTATGCAATTTTTATACTTTCAGTGATTTTTTGGCGAATCAGCAATCAATAGTGCAAAATGCTGTGGAACGCATCCGGTCGGACACATCGAATGTATCTTGATATGATCTGATTTGTATGCAATGGGAAAAAGCGAAGCCGAAACCAAATAAGGTGAGCAATCAACCTAAGAATGTACCACATTGGATAGGAAACTTTAAAGGGAAATGCGCAAGCGGATCGGTGAGCACATCCCGAAATGGGTTGCTACAAGTGTGACAAAACAATCGGCAGGACAAGAGTCAAGATCCCAATTGCGGGCCCCTTCGACAGCCAGACATCTACTTGGAACAGGGCACCAAATTGATTATAACTTGGCGTTTGTGGTTATCTAGCGTAATGAAAACGCTAAGATACTCAAGGTTGCGGAGGCTGTGGCAACTAATCACAGCCGTACGGACCTATGTCTGCAAAAACAGCTGACTGTCACCTTCAAGCTTCCTTTGGGACAGTGACACCTGTCTCAAACGTTGTGATTCTGTTGGACTATATGTCCTTATGTTTCTTCCGTTCCCATTCTGACATCATTTAAATCATTGACTTCCCCCTTAGTGATCGTTAAATGTCGCCCGTTTGCATGTGATCAAAAAGCGCGAAATGATATCATCGTGCAACACCCGTCTTCTCATTGTATTATTTGGACTGATACAGGGAGCCCAGTGCTTCAAGAAATGCCCTAGACAGTCCGAATCGAAAAATCCAAGACCACACGCTTATAGCTCCATCAATGTATGACATTAGCTGAGCGCGCAAAGTGGACTAAAGAGGATGCAAAACAGTTTAGGGGACGGGAACGATTGCATGCCGGATAAATACTACAGGAGTATCCAGACGTCCAGGGTCGCGGGGTAATTAATTGTAAACGAGTAATCTCGTAGTGCGGTGAATCAAATATCGGATGAGATGAGAGGTATGCAGGCAAGTTTCTAGTCGGAAGGCTAACGGATAATCAGTCGAATGCTCACAGCTCATTTCTTTGGAAAATTGACTGCGGAGTCAGCTAAACGATTTTCTCAAATGTCTATGCCCCAAAACTAACCAAAGCTGAAAGGCGTGAGAGGATACGCTGAGATGGCCGACTAAGGCATGGTCATTCGCGTGGAAATAACCACTGCTATTCAGAGTAAATTGGATACCAGTATATGCACGGCTATAAAATCTAGAAGAAATGAAGGCTAACATCACAAGAAATAATCACAATCCTTGAGAGTATGTGAACCCGAAGAGGAAAACGGAAAGGGAAAACTCACGGCTATCTGCAGCGGTAAGGAAAGCACCCAGAGTGTCGTTGCAAATACGAATCGTACCAGCCATATTTGGTCGAATGGCCCGCAGATTCGAGATGAGGAGTTGCTGTGTTTCCTCGAGATCCACTCCACTCAAAGACATACACTAGACAAATAAGAACAATGACACTAGTCTAAAATCACTCATAGTAGGCGAAATGGACAGTGAACGCTGGTTGAGAATAGACCTATCAACTCCAAACACACAGCAAACAGGAGGCACGATGAGATGAAATGCTGACATATCAGATAGCATGAGTGAACGCCGCCTAATACGGATGAAAGTGGGCCATAGCATAGACTATGGTCGATTGGCTGGCAACGACTAGTAGAGTAGGATCGGCATGCACCGAGCAAAGTACGAATAACTAGCAGCGCTATCAGCTACTAGTGGTGAATTAAAACCGGAATGCCGAACTGAAGCCTTGAATTGGAACTGTGTCCACTGGATGTAAGGGTCACGAAAAATAGGGGATATAAATGCTCACATTTATTTTGTGGGTTTTTATGACCAATGTGAAAGTGAACATGCACAGCACGCTGGTAGAGTGAAACTTAACAAAGGGTGTTTCCGATGAAATTTGAGCAGTGTGGTGAACACATCATTGCCTTGAGGCGGATTATGATCATGCGGCAAAAAATGGAAAATCTAAGGAACAAATCCATTGAAGACGAATGTAAAAAAACATCAAACACGCGAACAGGACATCGATCGGCAATAAGAGAATGAGTAAAGGGACAAAGTGGAAATGGTTTCTATCCGCTGGTCGACACGAGAGCCACATGCGGATAAACAACGTGCATCAACCGGATCAAATTCTACTAAAACCCTACATAATTGTTTGTTACATAATCAGCTGCGTTCCGTAAAGCTTTAGCCGTCCATGTGCAGCCGCAGCAAAACAACGCACATCGGGACAGACGGTCTGTAGGTAGAAGAAGAAGGTAGCCAATTCAAACTAAACATACAGCCTAGTGAAGTTATTCATTGAATGTATACAAAACATCAACTGACGGAGATGCTTCGTAGCTGACAGGGGCCAAATACCAACAATAGTAAATGTTCACTATGTGGAATTGACATGCCCAAATCCACACAAAACACTGATTGCATCACAGCGTTGTGCCTCATGCTGTTGATAAAGCAGATAATATTTTATCGCTCACATAGATAATTGAGGAGGCGAACGAAGGGTAAACGATATGAGCAGAAATCTTTCTGGTAGCCCCACTACCTGAGGCGATACAACCACTTAGGCACGTGAACAGATCGAGCGGCTGGAGTTGCGTCCGATACTTACGAAAACGAGTAGCGTGCCCGCCCGTTCTTTAGGTAGTCAACTAGATATGGAAAAGGTCAAAAATGTGCGCAAGCACTCCGTGCTCTGTAGTCCTGGGACTGGATCCAAACACACATCGGTAAGGTAGGTAAACTACGCTAAAGTTGAAACAGGCAAACCAAGAGTACGTGATCACACTGATCACAAAACCAAAGAGAAAATGAAAAATAGGACCTGAGAAAATAATCGCGATTTCAACTTGGGATAATTTAATACTGATGTCATATTTTAACTTCACTAGTAAAACCGTTAGACAATTTATACAATTTACGTGCTTCATCAAAACTATAATATTTTGAACGAATGGATAAACTCAGACTCGAGCACCCTCCCCCTGGAAACGCTGTGTTAGACACAATGTAACCGTAATCTTCAATGTCCTGCCCAATAAGATGCATGCTCCCGGGCTCAATAAACCAATAATGAATTCGACCTCTTATGACACAAAATAAAGAGAACTGAGTGGTCGAATACAAATCAAAGATTGACATGTCTGAAAACTTTACCAGATTTACCCGGATGCGGGACAGGCTACCAGCGAGTTGCCTGCTATTCCAAGTATGAATTTTGCATAAGGACCAACAGATTGCTAAGTGTACAAAAGCCATGCATACGAGCAAGGTCTAGGAAGTATATGATTCAGCATTCCGTTTGACACCATCATCACACGAAAGCATAAAGGAGTAAAAGACGAAAAACCAACTACACATTCGTTCCATACTTCATATTCACCAATCCGTTCTCTTTAAACTCGATCAAGCCAATCGCGCGATGTACGATAACAGGCGTGGGTTGAAGAGGAGAATCTAACCGAGTACATCATCCCACCCGTACCTTCCGTGTTCCTCTCATCCGATTATGCCAACCCCAAGGTTTCCATCGGAAAGTGGATGTTGAAGGGGGATAGCTAACCAAGTTCGTTTTTCGCCACCGATCATCACTGTTCATTCACATTTTACTCGGCCATGTCATCTCAAGTTTCGTGCCTTTAAGTGCATGCAGTAAAGAAGGGATGATCAATTCTCCAATTTTTAAAACGCTGTCCTTACATTGTCAAATCTTTAACTGTCACCCTTGTTAGCTGCATGTAGCTGCCCTAATCATTAGCTGACCGATGAACCGTAACACAAGGCGGTAAGCACTGCTGCAATAATATTTCTATTCCATACAACATTCACATTGTTGCATTTGATCATTTCCGAAATTAAAAAAGTAGTTTTCACTTCTCTTCTCTGAGCCCCCATAAAACAAGTCGTCCGCGGATAAAATTTAGTTTCGAGCAAAAGGAACATCCAGATTTAGTCGCCATCCTGAATCGAAGATCGTTCAGATGATAGCGACACTTGAGAACACCGCATCAGTCTGTTACACGAAGCCCACTAATGCTGAAAAAGACCGTCTCAGGGATAGTAAAATCTCCCAGGAAAACTCAGTAATCCAGTGGGAAAACAATTCGAACCAATGATGTACAAAGGAAACATAAAGACGTTTCAGGAATGTACGCATCAGGAAGATTCAGGTCTACACGACGCACGTACTTACCTTCCCATTGGCTAGCGGAATTGATCAACCAATCAGGACAGCCGACCTAACCGTTCTGGTCCGTGAATCTTCCTTGATTGACTCAAAAAATGTCTGTCGATTGCACACTACTTGTGCCCGCTTCGGTAGCTAGTTCGCAACACACTTTTGCCTCCAAGCGTTGACTTCTGATTGTCGGCCAGGGTTCGGAGCTAGCAGAGAACGTGTTCAGTTCAACCGGAATCGCGCAGACTGAGGTAGAAAGTAACGCCCTGGAACTTCCACCCAACTAGGTGGAGTAAAACTACCAATCACAGAATGTACTCGCAAATTCAGCATAAAAACCTACATATTGTGTCAACAAAAGTATACAGGATTTGTGCACTGTGTTCTGACTTTCCAAGGGAACGGTCTAATTGAAAATAACAAAGTACTTTCTGTCCTTCTTACACTTGACGGTTTTCGCTGTGATCAAAGCGTTATTATAACAGCGAATTTAGCTGAAACACGCTTGTATGGAATCCGGCTCCAAACAAATCGAATGAGCCTGAAATTTCAGACAACCGCGATGCATGTAAATTATGAAAAACATTTCAACATGACCCCGGGAAGTAAGTCAATAAGAGCATGTGCAGAAAAAACAGCAAAGCTGTAGGACCGAGCATTTACTGTCCACCGCAGTAAGGAAGTCGCCATACCCAGTACTAAACGGTAAGTGAGAGGTCAGGAAAATATGGTGGGTGAGGTAAAGTTTCATAATCCAACTCGTGCAGCTTCGGCATGGTTGTTTGTGCGACATGAAGCCGAACATTATCATGGAGAAGAATCGGCTCCTTTCTGTTGACCAGTGCCGGGCACCTATGTTGAAGTTTTCTGTGCATTTCCACAAGTGGTTGATAATAGTTCTTCGCTGCTATGGTTCTCCTTGGAATCAGAAACCTGTGACGGATCAGACCGGCCGCAAACCACCAAGCAGTCACCATAACCAATTTCCGGTGCAATTTTGGCTTTGGGAAGTATTGGGGAGCTGATCGTAGCCCAACCATTGAGAAGTTCATCGTCGATTGTCGTAAAGGATCCACTTTTCGCCGCAAGTCGCAATCCGGTCGAGAAAAGGGACGTTTTTACTGCGTAGAAGTAGGGCACACGAAACCACAAAACGACGATTTCTTTGACTTTCATTCAATTCTGCGGCACCTACTTATCAAGCTTTGTCGAGATTCCATCTTTCGTAAATATTTTAAAACGGTCACATGCGATACTACCAAGTCAGCAGCAATATCTCGAATAGTTGTACGCGGATGTGCCTTAACTAACGTTCTTAATTGATCGTTGTTCCCTTCCACTGGGCGACTTCAGTCCTGTTCATCTTCAAGCCTTTCGTAAGCTTTCCGAAAATTTTGAAACCACCATTGTGCAGTAGGAGTATTAGCAGTTCCAGCATGAAATGCACGGTTGATGTCACCAGTTGTTTCCGCTGCATTTCCACCCTCTAAATTGGTACAAGAATATTGTGCGAATTTGTCTTCCGTTCATTTTCTGCAAAGATGTAAAACCGTGCTTCTGAGCTAAATGACTGCTATTCCTAGATAGAGCGCAAAATAGGCTTCAAAATCATATACAGGATCAACGCAACTTAGTAAAAATGATTCAAAAATAGCTGCTAAAATAAAATATTAAAAAGCCACAATAACTTTTTTGCCAACCTAATACTATAATCAGTTCAACTGAAGTGATAGTCAGATTCGACTAGCTCGTTGTGTACCATCATGTCCAAAGAATATCTGTTGAAGGATAGAGATACTTTGTGCAACTGAATGCAGTTTCTCGGGTGAACAGATGAAGCATACAGCGGAGCTCGTGAGTCGATCAGGCCAAAATCTAATTCCACGGTGGAAGTAATGCAGACAGTAAGAATTGACAATTGAATCCTGCTTCTGTTAGAAGTTAATATTCTCATGCACTATTCTCCATAGATCCAGTCAAGATGGTGAACAGCAAGGTGATCCTGCACATGAGGCAGCGTGTTGTTACGAAATTTCCGATACGAGGGTATCCAACCAGTTGACATTTACAGAAGACACACACACTTAATAGAGGTACGATTTTTGATTGATACAAGCGTTTCAAAGATAGTCCTACGTGTACCACTGACGACCCCGGTTGAGAGGGATCCAAGCCCAAAGCTAGTATACTTTGGACCATTCAGAGCGCTAAACAGCTTATAAATGACAAATGTAATATAGCCTGTCGTGAAACCGCAAACGCGTTTACTCTTTCCTTGGGAGTACTCTGTTGTTCTGAAAATCGAGTACAATGTGGGTTCTAAAATAAATTGCCGCTTTTGACCGGCCAAAATAAATAGAAACCTGCCCAAGGCATGATATAAACATTGCAGGTCGGCTGAAAGCCATCCCAAATATCCTACAGAGCCCTGACGTAGCGCAGTGATCTCTACACGTTTGGAACGCAAACGAAGGCCTCGGAGATCAACTGTTCCACAGTGACGATGAGATGAAACGGTGTGCTGAACTAGTTCAGACGCACTGACAAACCTCTACGCTGAAACATCCAAGCATTAGCGGAACTCTGGAATGAACGCATAACAATAACAGAGGTGTATATTGCAAAATAAATGCAGTTATTGATTGCTGATACATGTAGACTTCTTGTGTTCTGGATTTCAAATGTCCACGAATACCCTGGCCTGAACTTCAACTTATCACTGGATATCGCAAAAAACAAGGCCGAAGCAAAGTTCGCTGTGGTGGTAGTTGAAACCGCGGCAGCACAAAACATCTGGCAACGGGCGCGCATAACACAGTGTTTAACTCTAACATGCAACCATCATCACCATCATTATACAGGTTAGCTAGAGGTGTGAAACATCTCAGCTACTGTGCCGCAATAAATAAAGGAAAAGGAAAATAAATACAACAGTTGCATGTCAGCTGGGCTACAACCAACGGATGGCATCGTTCCGAAAAGCTAACAGCCGGGTACTAGGCAACAAGGAAAATTGTGATGTAAAAGTATATTATGCTACGAAAAGAGATCGTGGTTGGAAAGGGATGCTGAAAGCTATGTGGAGGGAAAAGAACCTGAGGTCGGCTCCAAGCCATACCAGCAAGTGAATCTAGCCAAACGTGTTCATCGTCTTTCGGACCCCAAACAGGGAGCCGCGAAGCTCCAAACGAGACCAGCTCCGAAGTGACGGCCCTCATTCCTATTGATCAAGTCATCGCTTGGCCACCTCTCCTCTTCTTCCATCCACACCCCCGGCGAGCAAACAACGCACGCCGCGGGAGTCCGTGGGCTGGCATGCGCAACACGTGGCCCAGCCATCGGAGCCTGGTGCGTGAAATGACGGCGCTGAGCGGTTCAGTTCCTTTTCCTGCGCCGTAAACAACGCGTCGAACACGCTCATTGCTCATGTGGTGTTCCAACTAGATGTGAGCCAAACGGCGAACGAACCGATGGTCGAACGTAACTTGTGTCTTTATGTCTGCTGATCTAAGGGGCCAGGTTTCGCAACTGTACAGTAAGGTCGAACGTACCGCTGCATTGCACACTCCACCCTTTAGCGCGAGAGTGAAATCGCGACGCCGCCATAAGAGGCGAAAACCAGCAAAAGCACCTCGAGCTTTTACTATACGGTTCGCGATCCAGTCTTCGATCCCACGGACGCTGATACAAATTCCCAGGTAGTTTAATTTCTGAACGACTTCCAGCTGATCGCCACCAAGAGGCAGCGCTGGAGGCGATCACTGCCAAGCTTGGAAGAAAGCTTTGCATTTCGACGGTGCAAAGCAAAGCCCGAAGCCGCTGACAGCCAGTGCTAATCTGTCCGGTGTAGCTTGGCACGTCTGCGAGCTGTCACAAATAAGGGCAACGTCGTCTGCATACTCCAAGTCAAGAAGTCGTTCTCCTGGGGGTACATCCACACCTTCAAATTCGTGCCCTGTAAATGCAATCTCCATGACCTCGTCAATAGCGAAGTTGAAGAGAAAAGGTGACAACGGGCATCCTTGTCTCACACCACTGGAGATATTGAAGGGTGGCGACAGCTTGCCGTAAGTCCTCACTCTGCCCGTGCTACGCTCGTATAATGCTCGGATAATATTTACATACTTCGCGGGCACACCGTTCTTGAGTAGACAATTCCAAAGGGCACATCGATCAACCGAATTAAAGGCACCTTTGATGTCGAGGAACACAACGACAGTCAGCCGCCAATATGTGTGACGGTGCACCAACAACTGACGCAAAGTGAAGATGTGGTCGATGCAGCCACGACCCCGACGAAACCCGGCTTGCTCCTCACGAATCCGGCTCCCACGAGCGCAAGTCAGTCTGTGAAGAATTACAGAGGCAAGTACTTTGGAGGCGATAAAGACGAGAATGATTCCTCTATGGTTGCCGCATTCCGAAAGCGAGTCTCTTTGGAAGATGGGAACAATAACGGAGCGGCTCCAAACGGTCAAGACAGTTTCCAGTCCCCACAGTTTCACTAGTAATTCGTGTAAATCATCACCAAGAGCAGGGTCCCCGAATTTGTAGAGGGCTGGATGGAGACCAACTGGCACCCGCCTTTGTTCAACGAAAACAGTCCGACCACACGTCCGACTTCTGAGCGGGACGGCGAATCCAAAGGGACAGCCCAGGGAGCAGGGTGAACACTGGCCGGTGAGAAATCGAATAATTCCGACCGATTAAACTGCTTTGCAAAACGCTCAGCCAAACGATCCAAGCGGTTTTATAATTTGTGGGTAGGCTGTCCACTCTCGTCGCGTATATTTTCTCTAACCCAAGGTCTCCAGCTGCCCGTTTCCCGTATCAGCCAGAATAACTTTCGATGGTTACCAAGGGCAGCGGCCACTTCCATCTCTGACGCACAAAGTGATCAGCAAGATTCGCGGTCTCTCTTCAAACTAGCATGGAGTTTTGCCCGGAGCTCTTTGCGAGTTTCGTTGCGTGCGATTAAAGCCGGAATATGCCGGCGACCACCGATAAGTGCCAGAGAGCGCGAAGTGACCAAATGACCATGCTGGCTAGTAGACCAACCACATGAGGATTGTCTTGCTGCTACTAAGATGTGGTGAACATGCGACCAGTGACTTTCAATTGCCTCCAGTGAGCGCTTACTCAACTTGCATGACAGCTTATTTTGATAGGCATTCAAAACACCTGGCTTCGCCAGTTGAATGGCGTCAATGCAATCACAACGTCGTCGTGGGTGTCCGCCAAAACGCATCCGCATGTCAGCACATACAAGTGCCTATCGGTGTCCACACATGTGCTACAAGTCGAACAACAGTTCTGGACACAGCTTCTCCATCGGTAAGTGATTGCAATGCGATCGATTTACGTCCAAGGCTAGTGGGCCCCATGTCATCCCTGGCGGGTGCTGTGTCAGGAGTTAATGCTCGCAAGAAACAAACGGACATCTTCACACAAATGAAGTAACCGCACACCGTTATCACTACAGGAGCCTACACCGTGCTGGCCGCCCAGATGCAGTTCATCAATGGACAAATTTCCAACTTGTGCGTTCAGATCCCCTGCCAGCACACTAGTGTGTGGGCAGCTTCTGTGGCGAAGGAGCTCGTCCAGTTGACGATAGAAGTCGTTTTTACCGAATCATCGCTAGAGTTTGTGGGCGTAGGCAGCGATGACAAACAGACAACTAGTAGTCCCGCGCGACTTCGAAGCTTTAAACGTGCCAGTCAATCGGACCGCACACAACCGGTTACTGATTGGGATCCAATCAACCACAGCAAGTTCAGCCCGGAGACTCAGGGCAATGCCAACACCAGCTTGACCGGTGCTCGAAGCTGCATCGTCACCGGATATGTGCAATGAGAAAATACTGCTTGCGTCAACTGAATGGGATAGCAGAGGGAGCACAGAGCTCGAGTCCTGCAGGCGGGTCTCCGATAAGCTGCAGATATCGATGGAGAAGGCGTCTAGTGTGCTGGCAAGTGCTGCCTCTTGACCGATCTGTAGCAGTGTGCGTACATTGAGGCATGCAAATCTGAAGGAGGATAGAGGGCTCCAAATAGAAGCCGATGAACTGGAGTGGACCGCTTGGTTGGACATGGGCCTGTCGTCAGGAGAGGAGTGACGCTGCGCGTTCGTATGTGAGTTGAAACTAGAAGATAAACGCCTAACAAAGCATGTTGGTGGGAGGGCCAAGAATCGGGGGGTTGAAAACTGGGGGGATATAAGTGAAGTTGGAAGGGGATGGTAAGAGTGAAAAAGCGTAAAAGAGTGAATAAGAAGACGGGAAGACTTGAGCAGTAGCACCCAAACCCCTATCAACCCTGCTCAATGCATCAGATAGGGCACCGTTGATTATGCTCTGCGACGGCCAGAGCATCAGTAAACTGTATGAAGAAGAATTCATTGTACTGCGTGGGCAGGATACTGTCAGGTTGCCCAGGCCTAGACAGGAGAACGATTAGGGTTCTCAACCAAAGCTTTTGGTTCAAAAACCTGACCGCAAACCAGCGGGTTTGGCGTTG